CTCTCTCTCTCTCTCTCTCTCTCTCTCTCTCTCTCTCTCTCTCTCTCTCGTGGGGAGAATGAGAGAATAGGTCACCCCAGCAATCACCCTTGGCTACCTGGATCCTTGAAGGAAGACACTTCAACTTGTCCCGCCTTTTTTCTGGACCTCTCTGTTGTCTAGCACCCATTTAGTGCTGCTAGTTGAGTAGATTCTTGAATAAGAGCAAGAAATCTGTAATGTAACGTATCCTGATTCTTTGTGCATGTCACATATGAATTTAATGGATTTTATGGGTCACGACCAGACAGGTGAGCTGCTGCAGTGGATCTGACGAATCTCACGCCCCCTTTCATTCCAGTGCAATCCCCAAGAGTCCATGATGTAGAGTTGAATATTCTGTGTGGCCATTGGCCCGTCAATCGTATCAAACACTTTCCCACAAACTGTAGCAGCCTCGTTGCAGTAGCAATTATAGCAGGAAAGCATCAAGGGAAGGCAGCATTTAGGCTTATGTGCCACCCCACAGTGCTTTACAGCCCTCTCTGGACAGTTTATAATGTAAAAATTATTGGCATGTTGCCCTCAAAACTATCCGGGTCCCCATTTTACGAACCTCGGAAGGATGAAAGGCTGAGTCTACTTTGAGCCAGTCGGGATCAAACCGCTGGCAGCCAGCAGGATTGGCCTGCAATCCTGCACCACCAGGGCTTCTACAAGAGGTTTGGATTCTGATGACTACATGGGACTATGAATTCATGCCGGTGAAGAATTTATTACACACATTACTGCACATTTCACCAAGCATCTGCCCCTGACGTGGGAAAAATATTCTGCAATGACTGGATGGATATTCAAGCTACCCAGAAGAATTTACTCAAGGCAAATCATTTATTTTGAAAAGTTCAGTGACGGGCCTCATTTCTAATGCACACATATTTTTTCACTACTCCCTAAAACAGACTGAAAAACTACTTATTTTTTTTGAGTTCCTGGCTCACCAGAATGGAAACAAGGCCAGCCCAGAACACTCATCTTTAATCCTTCATACGGCACGTCTGCAGCGACTGCAGGTCAGAGAGGTTGGGGAATACCTGGCAGTTCCGGTCAAGTATACTTGTTTTAGAAAGACTTTTATCTAGCGCAGGGGTGTCAAACTCAAGGCCCGGGGGCTGGATCCAGCCTGCAGGGTACTTGGATGTGGCCCGCAGGGACACCCTGGAAACAGGGAAGGACTGTCCCACGGTGCCTCTGCCAGCGAAAACAGAGCTCAGGAGGGCTGCTTTCTCTGAATCTTTGTGGTCGGTGTAAAGTTTTGGGAAAGATTTGGTGCTCTGGCCCCAACACTTGCCTGTTAAACTGAGAGAAATTAGCCTGAGAGTTGAGCAGTTTCCAGGATTTTTAAGGGATGTTTCCAGTTTCTGCAAGGATTTGTTTGTTTGTTCGGGTTAGGGTGAGCCCTGGTCTGGATGAGTCCCTGCCACTCCTGCCAGTGGCTTGCCATTCCCTGGGGCTGAGAAGGGCTGAGTGGCCCAAGGCCGCCTAGATCAGCTAAAGCGCCTGGCGTCCGGGGTTCTAGCCTGATGCCTTAACCACTGCACCAAACCAGCCCTGTCGTCCCTGATGACTAAACCCTCATTTTGGCTTTTAAAATGTTTCCGTTTTGCGTAGGTTCTGAGGCTGCCCTCAGAGTTCTGCAGAGTTCTGTTTCCACTGCTAATTTACACCATCAAGAGGACGTCAGTAAAGGAAAAGAAACACTCATGGAT